ATATTAATTTTAAAATATATAAACAATTTGTAAGATTGTAATGTTTAATGATAATTCATAAAATTACATATGTAAGTTACAGTTTCACAATACAAAATTTTGACAAAATTTTAATAATCTGTAAGAATTTAGGTAATATTTCTAAAGTTTAGCATTATTCAAAATTTGTCGATCTTTTGTTCCTTCAATACACAGCCGTAACATTATGCATGCATATATAATCATATTCGTTTCTATAAGCATCCTTGTGTCCGCAGTTAACGCATCATAAAACTGTCCACGCACAGCAGAGAATTCATCCGTTTGCGCCGGATTCAACTCTTTTCTATCTACTTCGCGTCCGGCCGCGTCGTCGCCTTGGTCGTTGCAAAGGGAAAGAATCGTATGGAAAAGCGAAAAGTGAATATCGGGATGTGTGATTCGGTAAAGCCCAAGCGCAACGGCGGCGACGGAGTTGCATTACCATTTTGGCTGTTAGCCAAACCTAACTCTCCGAACTCTGGGAATCTCCGATAAAAGATAAGCCCTCGCCTCCTCTGCTCGCGGTTAGATTCAGATGGCACACCCGGTAGATAAACACACCCGGGGGAAGCCAGCTCCATCCCGCTCCTTCAACCCTCCCGTCGACTTCTCTCCCCGGCTGCTGGGACCGCGTCGGGAGGATTTCCATGAGATTTACAAGCCGAAATTTCCTTATCGCAATCAACCGGCTATATGTTTCTTCTGGCGGTCCTAAGAAATCGAAAGGAAGCGAGTTATTAATCTTGCGGTAATATCGCCCGTTAAATTTCGCCGAGCTTATTTTCTCAGGTTTTTTTCTCAACGTATCATCAGTATAATTCGTGCGCATTGAAAGTACCGTTCAGTGAAATCAAAAGCTCATAAAGAAATTTCTTAGTCAAATAATGCATTGAGATATTTCTAAAACGTATTAAGTTTTATAGACAAGAATTATTTACTTACAAATTATTGCAATATTTTAAATTCATTAAATGTATCAATACTTTCGATAACGTTATAATACTAAATAATTCACTAAATAATTATGCGTAATTCTTAATTTATTTTTTTTAATATTGTGTTTGTATGTTCTTTCTTGAAAACTTAAAAGTTATCAACGTTTTATCAATATAATGGACTATGTCCAACATTTTTCTTATCTTCCGGTAAATGCTTCCAAAAGTTTTATCGATTTCTTACATCAGATTGAGTGAAACGGATGGTGGAACGGACATCTACGTTGTCATTACCACATTTATTTTTCACAAGCGAAACTTTGCGTCATCTTATTTTTTCTCAACGAGACGATGACAATTTTCGTATACGATGTTTTTCGTACATGAAGTTTTTCGTACATCCAATCAATGTCTAGTAGTATCGTATATATCTTCTGTCTATCCGTAAGATTATGATTAATGATGATGACGAGGGTTGCATACGGGGCGTAAGAAGCGTAAATAAGGACATGGATTGTAGTGTGTGTAAATGAACGATTGGATCTGCTGATATCAATGACAGCAAGTATTCTCAAAACATTGTAATACGATAAATCAGAAAGAATAAATGTTTACACAATCAGACACGTCTATATACACAAAATGTTATAGAATCAATGAATGTCTTTTTTAAAATCGCTGTTTGTATGTTTGCAAAGGATATTTTTTGTAGAAATATTATAAAAAATATTATCATTTATTAAAGCAATTTTTAATTATCTAAACTTTAAGCTAGAAAATTCTATTCAAAAAAAATATATTTTTTTGTAAACTAATAATTAACTATATAAAATACAATTCCGTTATTTAATTTTTCTCATAAAGATTAATCTATTAATCTAAAACGCATTTGCTTTTTATGCTTTTAATTTATAATTAATATCTATTAGACATATCAGCAATATAATTTTTTCATACAAACATTACATATTTTAGATATATTATAGCTCTTTATTAAATTGTTTTTGCATATAAAAATTAACGCAGTATTATTAAATATATAAATCAAATTACATTTTTAAAGCATTTATTTTTAAGAAATAAATGGTCCGCATGTGCATGCGGAATATTTTCTATATAATATCTATCCGAGAACCAAAAATATATCTACTACAAGAATACGTTGCATTCTTATATCTCGTCCTCAACCCTTTCTTCTTTTTTCGTAGAAATTCGCGTCATATCTTTTCCCTGTCGTATAATGGAGCATATCGCTCGACAACCAAATTTTTCTTCGGCATTCTTTTGGATATATTTGTATTCTTCCGAGAATTCTGTCATTTTCCAAAATTAAAAAATTTCACAAAATATATTAGAGAATTGAGATGTTGTAATAATCATTATTTGTAATATAGGTATTTCGACGATAATGTTTCTGAAAGCGTCTAAGTATTTCATTCGAGTTATAACGTCCATCAATAGTTCATGTTTAGTTTAGTTATAACCTGCATCTGAGTTATTGTTCAATGTAGTTGCAGTATTCATGAATAATTTTAGCCTTTCTCTATGTTAGATTATTACTCTATGGGACCTTTGCCTTCCATTATCTATCATTTGGTTATTCCACTTTACATTGATTCACAAAAGACAACGAATCTATAATATCATATATTTGTCTATAATTTTTATTAATAGGACATACATCCAGACACATATTATTTGAGATACAATTTTCATAATTTACCTCAAAATAATGACTCTGATCAAAGCATAGGCAATCGCGGAAGCGCGATCGCGAATACGAGAATCCCGCGATGCGATGACATTTACAATCAGTCATCAGGTCATCACTGTTCGTCGCGTTGCGTGAGTCGCACGCCTCACATGATCGATCAGCTGTGCGCTAGCACGCGCGTAGTATCCGCGATCCACGACAACACGCGCGAGCAACTGCTCATTCATAAAGCGAACGCGGTCACGTTTGTTTTACAGACAGCGATAACTCTGTGGAAATTCAATCCAGAGATGCGCGACAAAGATAAATCTTTAGGGCTCGCGATAAAGTATTTTTTCATATAGATGTGGTTATTAAAATTTTTTGTCTATTAAAAGAAGAAAATGATATTCAAATTCGATGACAATTATATATGATTGTTTGATTAAAATTTCTTTAATGGGATTAATTGATTAACTTGAAGTTGATCCTTGAATCAATGAAGAAGAATAAATTTTTGAGAAGAGAAACGTTTCAGTCGATATATGAGAAGTGTTTCACGTCATAATTTAATATTTTAATTAGTAAATCTAATTAATATTTACTTAATAAATCTTATTTTAGAAAAATTAATAGTAATATTTATTATCTTAGATATGTGATATTTGTTTTATAATTTTTGCATATAAGAACGTAAATATAAAATTTATATTTAACAAATACAGCCACTTAGAATCTCACTCACTACTAAATTCCTAAACATTTGATACATTCAAACGTATATATATACACACATATATATATATATATATGTATTTTTTTATCTTAAATTTTTCATGTTATAATAAAACTGTAAATGTATATATTATATCGTATACGTCGTTTTATCATAAATTACTTCAATGAATTCCAGCACAGAAAGAATAAATGTTTACACAATCAGACACGTCTATATACACAAAATGTTATAGAATCAATGAATGTCTTTTTTAAAATCGCTGTTTGTATGTTTGCAAAGGATATTTTTTGTAGAAATATTATAAAAAATATTATCATTTATTAAAGCAATTTTTAATTATCTAAACTTTAAGCTAGAAAATTCTATTCAAAAAAAATATATTTTTTTGTAAACTAATAATTAACTATATAAAATACAATTCCGTTATTTAATTTTTCTCATAAAGATTAATCTATTAATCTAAAACGCATTTGCTTTTTATGCTTTTAATTTATAATTAATATCTATTAGACATATCAGCAATATAATTTTTTCATACAAACATTACATATTTTAGATATATTATAGCTCTTTATTAAATTGTTTTTGCATATAAAAATTAACGCAGTATTATTAAATATATAAATCAAATTACATTTTTAAAGCATTTATTTTTAAGAAATAAATGGTCCGCATGTGCATGCGGAATATTTTCTATATAATATCTATCCGAGAACCAAAAATATATCTACTACAAGAATACGTTGCATTCTTATATCTCGTCCTCAACCCTTTCTTCTTTTTTCGTAGAAATTCGCGTCATATCTTTTCCCTGTCGTATAATGGAGCATATCGCTCGACAACCAAATTTTTCTTCGGCATTCTTTTGGATATATTTGTATTCTTCCGAGAATTCTGTCATTTTCCAAAATTAAAAAATTTCACAAAATATATTAGAGAATTGAGATGTTGTAATAATCATTATTTGTAATATAGGTATTTCGACGATAATGTTTCTGAAAGCGTCTAAGTATTTCATTCGAGTTATAACGTCCATCAATAGTTCATGTTTAGTTTAGTTATAACCTGCATCTGAGTTATTGTTCAATGTAGTTGCAGTATTCATGAATAATTTTAGCCTTTCTCTATGTTAGATTATTACTCTATGGGACCTTTGCCTTCCATTATCTATCATTTGGTTATTCCACTTTACATTGATTCACAAAAGACAACGAATCTATAATATCATATATTTGTCTATAATTTTTATTAATAGGACATACATCCAGACACATATTATTTGAGATACAATTTTCATAATTTACCTCAAAATAATGACTCTGATCAAAGCATAGGCAATCGCGGAAGCGCGATCGCGAATACGAGAATCCCGCGATGCGATGACATTTACAATCAGTCATCAGGTCATCACTGTTCGTCGCGTTGCGTGAGTCGCACGCCTCACATGATCGATCAGCTGTGCGCTAGCACGCGCGTAGTATCCGCGATCCACGACAACACGCGCGAGCAACTGCTCATTCATAAAGCGAACGCGGTCACGTTTGTTTTACAGACAGCGATAACTCTGTGGAAATTCAATCCAGAGATGCGCGACAAAGATAAATCTTTAGGGCTCGCGATAAAGTATTTTTTCATATAGATGTGGTTATTAAAATTTTTTGTCTATTAAAAGAAGAAAATGATATTCAAATTCGATGACAATTATATATGATTGTTTGATTAAAATTTCTTTAATGGGATTAATTGATTAACTTGAAGTTGATCCTTGAATCAATGAAGAAGAATAAATTTTTGAGAAGAGAAACGTTTCAGTCGATATATGAGAAGTGTTTCACGTCATAATTTAATATTTTAATTAGTAAATCTAATTAATATTTACTTAATAAATCTTATTTTAGAAAAATTAATAGTAATATTTATTATCTTAGATATGTGATATTTGTTTTATAATTTTTGCATATAAGAACGTAAATATAAAATTTATATTTAACAAATACAGCCACTTAGAATCTCACTCACTACTAAATTCCTAAACATTTGATACATTCAAATATCGACTTAATATGTCTTTTGTACAAGTAAAAAAAAATATCGAGCAATTAATTTTACAAGTAACAAATACTATCTTAAATTAATTATAAATCGCTTACCCCTTAAGATTGCTCTGTCGTCTGATGCTTATTTTATTGCACTTACACGACTCGCAAAGCACACTTTGATACTCTTATAAGTTTTTAATTGTTAATTATAATAAATGTAGAAAATAATCACAAATAAATGTACAAAATAATCTCGAGAAATAATCTGATGATACCTTCTCGCTCTAGTCTCGCAGCACGAATAACAACAGGACGACCGCGTGTTGACAATAATACACTGCGAAGAGTCGGACATAGTGTGACAGCTAATTCGCGCGCGCCTTGCCGTCCCAAAATATATTTAACATTTTATAATTTCAATTCACATTTTAAATAAATACGTAGATACATACATACGTATATATATACACACACATATATATATATATATGTATTTTTTTATCTTAAATTTTTCATGTTATAATAAAACTGTAAATGTATATATTATATCGTATACGTCGTTTTATCATAAATTACTTCAATGAATTCCAGCATCAGATAGAAAGTATCATTTTTTTTCCAAGAGTTTCAAAAAGCGAATGTTGTTATATCAGTCACGTAGATCTATAAGCCAACATCAAATAGTAGATTTGAATAGCGACAGTCAGGAAATGAATGCCACGTGATCCTTTTATCGGCATTTCCATTGTTACGAATCTCGTTCGTTGGATTTGCACAGTTGCATTTACATTTAAACAGACATTATGGTATTTTTCGTGCATTTCTGGTTGATATCTCTTTTTATAGAATCATTTTTTATTTTTTGTAAGTGTAACTTTTATAATTATATCACGAAAAATTTTTAATATTTACATTGACGAAACATTTTAGAAATAACCATTCACACGCACATACAATTTCTCTCTTATATAATATTTTAAAAAATATTACATAGAAAAAGACGATAAATATCTTTCCCTCTTTCTCTCTCGTATACATTTTTATCATAAATATTAAACGCTTAAAAATAACATACTTCATGTGCAAGTTACATGTAATTATATCTGTAAAAGCCTAATAAAAAATTTTTTGGGTGACCTCTTTTTCTCTCTAACATAGCACGTAAAGAAAATTTATAAAAAACTTTCTTAAATCAAATAAAATTTACAATTATAAGTTTTAAATGTATTAATAATTTTTCAACGCCGAAGAAATTATCATATAAGGAAGTGCAAGATATGTCAGCATATATTAAGAATACTCTTTGATTATTACTTGGCTCGCTCGTGCCACGAAGAAGGGCTTCTTATTATAAGAAAACTGGATAAAAGCATCATATTCGAGAATTTAAATAAGTGTTATACCTCTATAATGGAAATCTCGCTTAAACGTACGGAAGCATTTCATGTTCTTCAGAGGAAACTGGCACTATTTGAGGTCCGTAACGAGCCTTGGCAGCAGAATTGCCACGATCACAATGCAAAGGCGAAATCATACGGGGAAAGTCCCTTTATCGAAGCTATATAGAAGGCGTTTCAGCACATTAAGGCAACCCGCACCGTTTTATCACTTTCAATTTATTCTTCTTTTCTCCCCTCAACGATTTCACGAAAGCGATGTGGAGTCTCGAACCATTACTATCTGCTCATAATGGCAGATAAATGGTAATGGATAAATGGTTGTTGATAGGACTGAAAAAAAAACTATATGATAGATTTTTTGGAATAAAACCTGGTTCTTAAAATTTCTACTCAATTTAATTTCTTTTTCTTTTCGTAGGATTTTAAATAATATATATCACTACATAAAATAAAATATATAACTACATACACGTACAAAAATAATAATTCTCTCGTTTCTTAAAACTTCTGGAATATGATATTTCTACGTTTTGGAACACACGACTCATCATATTAATATATAATAATATATTACATTAATATATGATAATTTATTTTTATATGTATTAATTTTTATATATATTTTATTTTTTCGCAAATATTTCTTAACAACTACTTTTTAAAATTTTAACGAATAAGATAAAAATGTGTTATTATTATAATGTATTCAATTATGATAACGTATATATGATATACATATTTAATTAGAAATTTATATTTGTGCACATTTTATCTCTTGTATCGAGAGATGTTTTTCGTTTTATCGGAAACATTCTTTATATGTGTGAAATTTGAATGAGATATAGATTCCAATATTTAATTGTTTTTTTTTTTCAAATAGATTTGATTTGCAAATACAGACACCTGATAGGCTTGCAAACGTTCAAAGCATAGTATAAAAAATATTCTTCTCAATTCGGTGGAGTAGTTGCATCTTGTCAGTGATTGATTTCCACCAAGTCATTTATTTAATAAATTAAATTAGATGTGACGACAAAATCAATCATAAGTCTGCCGTTAATGTGATCAATTTTATAACATCAAAAGAATTAAAATACAGTAATCCATCAAAATGTCGTATGTATATGCCGTATATAATACCAAATATATTTAATAATAAAAATGTAATTATATTCTACGTATTATAAATAAATTGATTGCATTGATGCAAGATTAATTATACGAAGTATAATTAATTTTATATTGCAAAGCAATTAAAGTTACTAATATCCATTCTTGTGAAATATGAATTTAATTTACCATTCCAAATACATTGTATATAAAATATAAGGAAAATAAGATACAAAATAAAAACTCGACTACGTATGTTTGCTTCCAGACGTCATACCATCTAATCGCACCACAAAAGTGCTTTGCATATTCAATAACAAAAGTGAAAAAAAATCAGCTGGATAAAATTTGGTCAAATCGCCACTGCGACATAAATATGTCGCAAAGTGGCGAAGTTGAGAGTTCTATGCAACCACTTCACACCATTTTATAAAGTCTATATGAGAGTTTGCTTAAAGGGGCCGTTTTACCTTATTACTCCAATGTCGCGCGATTCTCTGTCTGCGACGAAAAGTCTTTCATTCGCCTCACGACGTTAGAATGGCTGTACTAGTTTTGTTACCGTCGTAAGATTAACGAGATCTCGCGCTCAAGAAAGGTCTGTTTGTCTGCTACACACGGAGCTGATAGCGGTGTAACGAGATGTGCTCGCCACACTGTGCACGTAAGATTGAGCTTTCACGAGATGGGAGAATAGGGAGTCGCGTGGTAACTGTGGATAGAGGTGGATTGTCAGTCCAGTCTGTAAATCGTAGAAATCGCGGTAGCTTAGGCTTTGATTGTTTTGTAAATACAAAAGCACATACTTTTTATAATATAGATATATTTTCAATGTTATGAATATCATTTTCAATCTTACGATTTAATATTTAAAAAGTGAAAAGAGATAAAATATGCACGCGCTCGTTTAGAATATAATTAATTATAAAGAGAAACAATTAAAAGATTAATAAGTAACTCTTATGTAAAACACAATTTTTTTTTTAATTTTGGACGTCTGCCTCTTATTAGCCCGCAAAATTAAAAAAAAAAGAAATTAACGGTTTAAATAAAACTGAATTATATTTAAGCATAAATTTCTAATTATTTTATAAATAGATACAAAAATACAAAAGATATAATATTTAATTATAATAGTCAAATATAACTCTCTCTCGAAGAATACATAACCATATTAGTAGAACATAGTAGTAGAACATATTAGTAGAATATCTAGTACGGAAATGTCCGAAATGTCGCTGCTTATTATACAGTTCTGTGTGCGCTAAACTTGCCACTTTAGAATACCACTATGTACTGTCTCTCCTAACTGTGAGAGAGACATCTGTTCTTTACCCTACTTTACCCTAATGGAGAGTATTTCGCACTACTGACCAGTATAAGTATTATACCAACGTAACGTCAATACTTCAGATCAATAAAGCTTGAAAGTTTTATTTAACGCCAATATTGCGATATTGCGAATTTGCTGTGCAAAAATAGTAAATATAAGGCAAATATTATATATCTTGTAATATTTATTTCACTAAAAAAATATATTGCAAAAATAAAAAAATTTGTAATGGTTTGGAATTTATCAATAATCAACGTTTATATTTTTAGCTAAAAATTTTACCACAAGTATTAACTAACTTTTTTATTAATAAATTATCGTCTTCTTTAAATTTTGTTTCTAATTTAATAATCAAATATATTTAACTTCTTTAAGTTATTATACATTGTTTAACAACTTTATGTCTTTCCAAGAATTAAACAAATTCTCTCTTTTCTCTCTCCACAATATTATACTTATTTATTTTCTTTTATAAACTTGTAAAATATAAAATAAACCAAAATTATTTACAAAAATAAACGGTATATATATTGTGTGAAAAAAGTATAGAAATAAATTTCTAATAATCGCATATGCTATATTTAATTAATATTGTGGATTTTTAAGAATTAGAATTCACGCTCAGAATTCGCATATGAACTAATATTTGTATACATTTCAATTTACTATGAAATAGTTAAAAAGTGATATTTAAAAATAAATATTATTAAACATTGCTTGCTTGATTTTATAAAGAAAATCTCAGTCATATTTCCTCACAATGTCGATATGTGACACCAAAGATTATTCTGAGAAAACTGCTACAAACTGCAAAATATCAACGATACAAATCGCAACGTTCTATTCTTTTATTTGAATTTTGTCACGTATGTTCCATCGGGATTATTCGCAGCTTGCATACGAAGATTTACCTTTCGATCTAAAATTCGTCGCATCTAGATATGTCTCTGGTCCAATGATGCAGTCCCGCATATGTGTGACGCTTTGGGGATCGGGAAAAGTGGATGAAGAAGAGAAAAAAAGTTAAAGAGAGAGAAAGAAAGAAGACCCACGTGTGGACGCTCGTGTGACACTGCTGTCGCGTATCGAGAAAAATTACCATATCATGCAAATCCGGGCTTGGACCGAAATACCTCCGGTTCGGAGCGTTGGTCCCCGGTTACGAGCACGGACGAAAGCTGATAGAGCGTAACGCATTTGTGCTGCCAACACGCAATTCCGGTCGGTCCGAAACAACAGTGACGAACCCGGGTTGCCGCCGTGCAGTAGATCGCTCAAAAAACGGTACGCCCGACGGGACACGGGGGCACGATCGGCTTTAATGGAGGCCGTACTCCACGTTCTGCGTCGACGATTTTTGCGTCAATATTGATATACGTCCGTTGAACGCGCAGTTTATAGCTACAAAAGCGGACTTGCGCTCGAA